ATTAAGAGCAATTAAATACCGGAGTCAATTTTATTGTATGAGTTCACATATTAGAGTGGATTCTAAAACTCAATCTGGGACAAATGATAAAATAATTACAATTTCCAGTTTCAAGCATCACCTTCTATGAAAAGCTCACTGCAGATAAGAAATGTCATCTTGAAACATTTAAAGCTAATTTCTTGTGTTTCATGCATGTCTTTTTTTTATTTTGAATGAGGCATCAGATTAAATTCTTAGATAATGCAAAGTACAATTGTGATGCAAGTGTCGTCCTACAAAGGAAAAACCAACAGAAGACATGTGTGAATACTGCAAAAATTCATAATTTCCGATCAGAGATCATCGCGCTTGAGTCTGTTCATATTTTGTGATGACAATATTTGGTCAAGAGAGAGAAAAACAGAGAGAAACAAATCCTTTGTGTTTTTCTGATATGTTTCCACTTCAAATGAAAACCAGATTTGTTCCCCAATACACAACAAAGTCGTCATGGATTCCCAAGGACAGCCGGCGGTACGAAATTAAAACAAACTGAAACAACCCATTTCTGACTGAGCAATTTTTGTTAGGTGGTCTAATGTGTACAACAGAAAAATGTCTGCTATATACTGAGGTATTATACTATCTTGGAAATTTTATAACTGCAAGTAAAGGCAAAGAAGGGTTCCACAACTAACTTTCTTCACACACACAAAAAACAAACAAAAAGACGTTTACCCCTCGCCTCCCTAAAGATTTAATAGGAGACATGTCTGCTTCTCCCCACAAAACAGTCAAAGTAAATGCATGATCCTCAGGCATCTCCCTCAATGTAACAATTAAAAGTACGCTGAGAACATGAAGACACATGAGACGTGTTTAGTGAAGGTCACAAGCAATTACCCAGACTGGTAAAAGCTGGCATGTCGCACATGGCACTGCTGCACGCCCTCATTAGGCGTGTTCTGTGGCTCAGAGTGGGTCTTGTGGCTATAAAAGAACTGAGCCCACTGCCTTCCAAGCCTCCTTTTAGCAGAACCTCACCAGCAGGAGCACAAAGAAACTACACATCACCACCTCTGGATCAGATAGGAGTGGACAAACGTTTTTTTTGTTTTTTTTGTAGAGGAGGGGGTCTACTTGAGCGAGGAATCGGTGTGTTTCTTTACAGGCTGGGCATGGTTGGCTTCCAACAGGATAAACATTAATTCCCCAGTCCTTCCTAATAATGAGCAACAAGGGATTATTACCTTTACTGTGACATGTTAAGTTTAATGTGTTGGTTTTAACAATACAAAAGTATTACAAATAGGTGAGTGTCGGAATAGCTGCTGAAAATGTCTCCATTTGTTTGAGCACCAGATATAGAGAGCAGCCACGGCATATATCGTTATATATGCGTTTGCCTGTTTGGATCCTTATGGGAATATATGGAGCAGGAGGTTGTTTTTTTCTGACATTTTGTTTCAAACTAATTGCCTCATGATGGTCCTGGTGTGCTAACTGCTCTCAATCTGGACCCTGTCTAATAATTCCCCCACTGAGCACTGAGATCACTAAACTCACAAACACTAAATCAAGAACATGGGCACCCAGAAAAAGGCTCTTTATTAAAACCATGGCAAAAACACATATTCTGCTTTTGTTGAAATGGGAAAGATGCGTTCATGTGCACAGTGTTGTTTAACAGATGAGAGATGAGAAGCCAATGTCCAGAATGCTGCTTAGTACTAAAGTTTAAATGCATCACAGCTACTACATTTTTTTCACATGCCATGCACACACACACACACACACACACACACACACACACACACACACACACACACACACACACACACACACACACCAGCTATTTTACCATTAAAACAACTGTTTATAAAGGAACTGCAGTAAAATTACGCCTGAAAAATTACTAAAATAATTCCAGAACACACCTCCAGACTCATACACACACACACACACACGCGCACACTATCGGCCCCTTTGAGACAATGACTAATACAACTTTGAATTTGCCTCAGAACTATAAAGACAAAGCACACTTGAGGAAGTGAATCCTCCGATGACACTTAAAACCAACATCAATATTTACCGACGGGGGTCGTCGCACCTTGCGGGCGTCAGGTGTTGATCGGATAAGTTAGTGTCTCACCTGAAAGCGATTTGGGAGGAAATTTCACACTTTGAAGACCTAATTGTGGGCTATTCGTTATAATCTTTCTGAACTGAACAAACAATGGAAATAGCGTTGGACCATTTTGAAAGATAAATAATCATGCTTTTGAGAACACAGTGTGATACAACCTATTGAAACCAAACACAGGCCTAAAGGATACGTTATCTGGACGTTAGTCTGAACAGCGGCTGACATTAATTAATGTAAATTCAAGATTTCTATGTAAGCAAATAATAGTTTTACTTGCACCAAAAGCATTAAGATTTGACATGTGAATTAACCCTCATCTGTTTGGGAACCCAGTCTTATTAATATCATTGAAATAGAGAAAAAGTAATCAATAGTAAATACTATAATGCTTCAATCTCATATTTAAGTCGGTGATCATCATTAGACAAAACAAACACCATTATAATACTATACTTTACTGTAACCGGAAAACTCTTATTTCATTTGCTCTCCAGCCTTAAAATGTCCTTCCATGACTATATTGTGCCGACATGTGGGCGATGATTTTAGTTTAGACGTCTCAAGAGATGTCAGTTAGAGATAAAGGTTTATCTCAAGTTTGAACACCTCTGATGAAATGGCGGTGGATACGTGAGCACCTCGGACATAAAGAGAAGAATACTGTACAGTAAGTCAGTGGTGTAGATATATAATAATTCAACCATTGGATTTTAAATGGAATAATAGAGTTTGTGTTTATGCCGCAGTGTTTATGTGGGCACATATTGTATGATTAGACTTTGAAAATGAGGGGAGCCGTTCAAGGTTGTTTTTGTTTCGTCACACAGGACAAACAGGCGGTTGCAAAGCCCTGCACCTGATGTATGCAAAACTATAACCGCAACAACGGATGTGTTCACGTGCGTTATTATTTTAAAGTACCTGTTTTACGTTTACTTCATTCTTTAATAAACATAGTCACCTTTAAAATTCAACACGAATGTATTCTAACACATTTTAGAGAAAGACATTGCGATGATTAAGGTCCCAGTTCTAAAACCAGACCACCGACCTCTCTGCTGTTTGTCTAACCTGCATGGCCTAAATGTACACGGTAGAAAATCTAATCTGCTGCAGCGCACATTTTTTTTGGCTTTTATATATCTTTTACATCTTAAATTCATAAATAAAAACCTGGAAATTATCAGTCACAAGACAGGGACATTAGGTATCTAAGAATGTGCGCATTTGAACCCATCACACGTGCAAAGGTGAATAAAGAAATAAACAAAAGCTAGCTCATTCAAATTCTCTCACATTCATTTTTGCATTTAATCTCATAATCCTAATGACTATTTATTGCTTAAAAACAGACGCATCTTTCGGTAAATGCAATTACAATTATATTTAAAAAACAAAACTAATTACAGCCTAGTGATACAATGCATACATGATCATGGCAAAAACAGAGAAAATACATATATTTTAAAGTTGTAGAACTACATTAAATTAAATAATTTACGAGTAAATAACGCGGAAAACGGTATACAAAATACAATTACGAGGTAAACACAAACACACCTTCTCATGTTGATATTCATATAAAATACTAAAGGTAAAACAAATTTAAAAAAATTCTAATGAAACATCCAGAAAGTGGTTTACCTACCCCGAAAATGCTGCACATGGCAAAGAAGTAAGACTGTGCTGGTAAACCCAAAACCATGCAATTCCTTGGTTGTCCAGATGAGGGGAGTCCTGCCAGCCAAGCAATGATGGAAAGACAGAGAGAACGACAGGGAGTGAGTGAGGGACAACAGTGACCCAGACAAAATTACACCTTCAATTTATTAAAACAATAATGCATACTCAGCAGCAACAGACGAAGTTCCCTCCGGTGTGCCAATGCACCCTGCAACATGCATGCAAATACAGCATGCAACAATGAGATGAGAATTCACTTGATATCCAGACGTCCACGATAAAAGAGGATACAAGTTTCCACCACTTGCATCTACTGCTTTAAGGCAATCTTCTCCAACATCCAGCTCCTCTGACCCAACCTGATGCTTTCCATGTGTCCTGCTCCCAGATCTGGATGGTGGAGCGGACAGGAGACAGAGAGGAGAGGGGTGGAGGTTGTGGAGGTGGTCGCGGGGGGATAAGGACACTGCACCTTGTTACCATTGGGTCGACTGTTAAGTTTTACTTGTAACGTTTTGCAAGCGATACCTTCTAAACTTGCACAGGAAACTCCGTAAACATGCTGTGATAATGTAAGTCTCTGGCATCCAGTGGATATCCCATAGTCTGGGAGCGCTGCGATCTACAGAGGTATCGATTACACGCGCCCCTTCCCATGTTTGATGCTCCCAACACTGGCTTATAAAAAAAAAAGACTCAGGCTGCTAGTGTGCAAGTTTCTTTTTGGCTCTGATGGCCAAACGACTCGATACCCTCAGTTTGTCCAACATGTGCAGAAAAACAGATTTTTTTTATATTTATAACTGAATAAATCAATTTAAATAAAATAGCTACAAATGGAATAGACTGGCCAACATGCCAGGTCCCATCCACAGGTGGATATTTTCAGGTATATGCTGATGTTTTTCTCATCAAATTGATACTCCCTGATGCACACTAAAAACATGTCGCCAATGCCAAACACTAATAAACAGGGAGGTGTCATCCCATTGTATATGATGTACATGTCCTTACCGGTTGCATGTTGGATGAAACGTTTCCCTTTCTGCCACTTCCCCTTTGCAAAATATTCAAGGAGGCTGCACAGCTCCAACCGGATGGGGTTTGCATTGGCTGACAGCGGTCCTAGCGCAGGGCGACCAATGAAACCAAAGCAGAGGCTCAGCGTATAACAGCGAAGATTGACGTGTAGGACGCGTCAAATTAATTCTAGCAAACGCCGGACTCCATGGGATAACTCCAATTTGCTTTTATCGGATGAAGATCGCTCTGGTGCCATTGTACCTTGCAAGTCACTTGTCTCCAAAAAAAGATTGAAGGGGGCGCGCTGCACTCGGAGATTTTAAGAGGTCTATTTTTCCTCTTCTGGGGCTCATTCCTCCCGTTCCCCTTCCTTCTCTGCTTTCGCTCGGACGCATTCAGCCATTCGAAGGGGCGCCTATATTTCCCGGCACCTCGAAACATATAGGCAAATGGGTAAGCCCGCGTAACCATCGGCATGCTTCACTGGCAGGGACCTTATTCAAGCGTATCAAGACTCACTACGCCTGCGTACAGACAATAATAAGCATTTGTTTTACCTTTTGTAATTTTTTTCCCTTCAAGTTCAGATAATGAGCAATAGAAGAGTGTTTCTTTTCGACGACAGTATGTCAAGTTTAAATCGTGGGGGATTTTTCCAGCTCTGTCAAGGCAGGCAATGTTTAAGGCTTTAAATCTTAAATGGAACCACACCGCCAATTACACCATGAATAGTGTGTCTCCGAAGAGCTCTCGAGTGTCAATTCCTCATGCTCGCCATTTTTTATGTTGCGGGTGGTTTTTTTGTTGTAGTTGTTGTGTACTCGGGGATGGCGGAGGGGAAACTAATATAGTCAAATAGTGTACACACTTTTGTTGGTTACCAACCAGAGGTTACCAGTAGGCTGACACATGTTAAAGTCACTTTATGGTGTAAATTGCAGGAGCTGGCCTGTGTCAAACTGATACAGGATGCACATTTTAAAGTTGCTTCCTAATAATAAATAGACATAATTATTTTATGAAATTACATTGTGTGGCAGAGTAGGAAAAGTCCATTACAATGACAACATGAGGCTATTTTATTTCCTTATCAGAAATGCATGTATAGGCCTACTCACTTCATGCTGCGTAAATGTGTGCCTTGTGTCTCCATTGTCCTGCAGAGCAAAACTATGGAGAGGTGAACCAGTTGGGCGGCGTGTTCGTCAATGGGCGACCCCTGCCCAACGCCATACGGTTGAGAATAGTGGAGCTGGCTCAGCTCGGGATCAGACCCTGCGACATCAGCCGGCAACTCCGAGTCTCGCACGGCTGCGTGAGCAAGATTTTGGCGAGGTACAACGAGACCGGCTCCATCTTACCCGGAGCCATCGGTGGGAGCAAACCACGGGTCACGACGCCTAACGTGGTGAAAAACATTAGGGAATACAAACAAGGCGACCCCGGGATCTTTGCCTGGGAGATCCGGGACAGGCTTTTAGCAGATGGAGTTTGTGACAAGTATAACGTCCCGTCGGTCAGCTCGATCAGCAGGATTTTACGCAACAAGATTGGAAATCTCTCCCAGCCCAACCAGTATGAGAGCAGTAAGCAAGCCTCCGCGCAGGCCGGGCTCTCCTACAACCACATATACCCTTATTCCTACCCCAACATGTCCCCCACTGGCACTAAAATGGGCAGCCCTGGAGTACCGATGACGGGTGGACATATGAGCATATCCAGGGCCTGGCCCTCTGCACACACCGTCAGCAACATCCTCGGTATACGAGCCTTCATGGATCCTGCAGGTAAGGAAAACAAACACTCTCTGCTCTGTGAGAAATCTCAGGACTCTGCGTCTCTGGACCATGAGCCGTACAACTCTCTCTGTCCTCAAATCAGAGCTTAATAAACGAGTGTAGCTGGTTATTGTGTTATTCAGCATGGTGAATTGCCACATCACTCCGTACAACCTGTTCTGTGGACACGGGCAGGACAATGTGTCCATTACAATTTGCACAGGCCTCCGTTTCACCATTTAGCCAAAAAGCAGTAAGGCCACTTACAATAGGCCTTTTCATGGGATGATGCATTTCCAAACACCTTGCTCACCTGCTCTATCCCCCCCCCCCCCCCCAATCCCCCAAGTAGGCCTAGTCACTACAGGCGTTTTGTCTGTCTCTTTCTGGTCCTGTAGTTCAACATAGTAGTCAGTGTTTTCATCCAGCGTTTAGTTGCCTGGTCCAGTGTGTTTTTTTGTGTCATAGTGTCCTATATAATTTAAACAAATTGTCTGTCAAATTCTATATTTGTAGCTCCATTTTCACATTGAAAAAGATATTACTACTTATACAATAATGTTGCAAATATATGATAACATATTAGGTATATTTTATTAGGTACAATAAACCTAAACAATTATTAATATAATTTATTTAAAAAGAGAACGTTATTTATAATTATCTGATAATGTTGTTTCCTTTCAGCTGTATCGTTTTTTGTGTGTCTTTAACGTGTAATCAAAAAACAGGTCTTATTTTATTATACACGCGTATTACAAACATTTGTAAAATACATGATATTTTTTATATTTAATTATATCATTGTTTGATTGAACCTGACTTCAGAACGGCCTGCTGTTTTGAAAATGAAACGTATTTTAAAGCCCAGACAGGTTCATGCGGAAAGCATTTTAAATGTCTAATTCACGTCATTTATCAAAACTAAATGAGACTGCTTTTTTGTTCTGTGGCAATTCTACCTTTTATACATGTTTGACATGAAATTACATGTTTCTAAATCAGCCATTGCTGGGATGGAGGGATATCCACCAAAAATGGAAGAGTGGAGTAGCGTCAACAGAGCCGCTTTCCCCGGGGCACACTCGGTCAACGGGATCGACAAATCGGCAATCGACGCCGACATAAAATACGCTCAGGTAAATGGATGTCTGCACATGTGTAGCCCGCAGCCTGTGACCTTTCTAAACCAAATGTGCGCACTCTGTATCGCTACAATAGCGCCATTTTTCTTTGCATAAACAGTCCAAATGTATCGTGCCAAAATGGGCAGGGGCCTTAAGCAAATTAGTATTCTCGCTGCATAGGCCTGTGGCAGAGCTGTGAAAAGTTTCCATATCAGGGACCGTCAGACAGAGTCATATAAGGCAACAGACCTCTCTGCTTGATAAGATTTCACCCCGAGACTCTAAATAGTTTTATGACTGTTGATTAAGTGTTCTGTTTTAGGACGGAGACCGACAGTCCTGCATTCATGATCCAATTAGTCTTATTTATGGTGAATTACATTGTAGTGAATGTAATCTATTCCTCAATTTGCTCCCCTCTCCCTGTAAACCACTCCATTTAGAGAAGCACTGCTGGAGGCCACATGCCGCTGTCATATAGCCTACAATTATAAGCGCTGTGCGTTTGAGGTTTTGTTGCGCTTACTTTGTCTGCCTGTCTTATGTTTGCCTGCAGCCCTCCTCGACACTGTCCAGTTATGTCTCGGCGTGTGCTTACTCTCCCACCAACCAGTACGGGGTGTACAGTGGGCCAGCAGGCGGCTACGTGGCCCCGGGCCACCACCACTGGCAGCCGCAGAGCCCGGTCCTGTCCCACCCGGGCGGTGGGATGACTAGCATGCATGCAGGGGAGATCCACTCGCCGATGAGCTTCAAGCATCAGGCAAGAGAGGGTACGTATTGAGGGAGGGAGGGGAGGGGGGGGGGGGGGGGGGGGGGGGGGAGACAAAGTAAGCGCAACAAGACCTCAGACGCACAGCGCTTATAATTGTAGGCTATATGACAGCGGCATGTGGCC